AAGGTAGCACAACTGTGTTTGCTGCATGACCTGTCAACTCCCTCTTCCCCTCCTCCCTGAATGTACAGCACCTTGTGAATTTATTTCTGTGAAAGGCGCTATATAAATAAAACTTTACGTACTTACTATATAAAACAAGCTAACTGCAGCATAGCTCTGAGCAGAAGCTGAAGGTTCTGGCACCTCTACCATCGTGTTCTGAGCAATGAACAAATCAAACTGTCAGGTGTGAGCACTGAGTGAATCAAACAAATCAAACATCTGACTCACTTTGGTCATGACTATGAAACACTTATCCTGACTTAAACGAGTGAATCAGGACAGAAAGGGAATCAAATGTTACTGTTTACTTCCTGTCATGCCTAAATCAGCTCACACCTCCAGGAGACTTCCTCTAGCTGAACGTCTTTGGTTCTAGATGTAGGAGTGAGTGACTTATTTGAAATAGGTCCCCCTACATCTTCTCATAACTAAGTTATGAGAGAAAATTTTACCAAGGTTTTCCTCATTACTTTAATATTTGTCTGTGCAAAGTGAAGTGACACAATGAGGTAACGTCAGACGAGTTCAAGTTGGTTCATAAAATATTATGCAATCATTTATTTACACAATTTGAACAAATCATAAATTACACCTGATTGTGAGCTATTTATAACAAGCGTCTAAGTTAAAATGAGGTAAAACCCGCGTCCGAATTTCCTTCACATTAAAACTTAGATTATCTCTATATAAACAGTAAAAATGTCAGTTCTGATGTTAAACTAACAATTTACTGGCACTTTCACTTAGGGTTGGCAAAGGATAAAGGTAAGAAAAGGTAAGAAAATTAAGGATTAGTGTTTCTGCTTTTATTTTGGAAAATCTGTGGCAACCGGTTCAGCACGTCCCCTCTGCTCTCAGCTTCAACTTGACACGTCACCCTCGAACACGTCGGCATTACCTGGTGATGTCTGCTCAAGCACCCCTGGTATGAACTGTTTTACCACGACCCTCCAGGAAGCTTGTCCAGAACTGGTCCTTGGCGAAAAGGTGTCGTTTAGGTGACTTTTCGTCTTTTTCAGCCCGGCTAGAAAGATTCCAGCTGTGGTTCCAGTCATCCTTCAAAATAAAAGTCTCCCCTCGGGAGTTGAAAACACTTTTATGAGACCTATGTCTCCAGGTGGACAGAAGCGGCTTGCTTCTGTCCGGCCGTCAGATTTCCCCTATTTGGCTGGATGGGTGAAATCTGAGGCCCCGGCTGTCCTCCGGAGAGAGAATCAGCCCCTCTTCCCGTTTCGGCATCCAGGAAGAGACTGGTGTCTCTGTAAGACGTCCGTGTTAGTACAGAGAGAGGGACGACTTAGATCCGCCCTGAGGCGTTTAGCATGAGTCAGGAAAGAAAAGAAGATAAGAGAGTTTGGCAGACGCCAGTCAAGGTCATGCCGTAGCTGTTTTTACAGGCATTTGATAGTATCTTCTCTGCTTCTTCTGATAGACTGTAAGAGGAATCACTGTAAAACATTTATGGTGATTAATTAACATTTCTGTTTAAATAATCAGTCTGAACTTGGTGTCCAGATAAATGTAAGATTTTCTTAAGAAAACTCAAAATTATATTACTGATGTTTCCAGTAAAATAACACAGTGATTTATATAAAAACACAATGAAAACATGGTGATGATTTTCTGTGATTTTATACCAATCGTTAATCTCTTTTAGGCACGATAAAAGAATAGAAGTGATTCCATCTTCTTTGTGACATGTCATTATTGTGATTAACAAATGCATAAACATTCTTAGTTAAACACAACTGAATCACGAACAGAAAAGATTATTTTTGTTTAATATCTGATTAAGAGAACTGAAGTCCTCCATCACAGGTTGAAATGACCCATCATGGCCTAAAATAGAATTCAGTGTTCCTGCCTTCTTTCAGGCCTGTCCGAGACCTGCTTTGAGGCAGTAACTCCTGTTTCTTCACTCGAGGTGACCCCTACATAGATCATGTTTGGGTTCATTTCAGTAAAGAATTTTAATTTTTTTCTACATTCTTTAAATATTTGTATTTAAATGTATACTGTTATTTTCATTTCCATGCCTTCATTACATCACAGCTGGACTACTGTAATTCCCTTTATTTTGGTGTTAGCCAGTCATCCCTCACACGTCTACAGCTGGTGCAGAATGCCGCTGCCTGTTGTTTGACGGGAACATGTAGGAGACAACACATTACCCCTGTCCTGGTKWCTCTCCACTGGCTACCCGTACATTTTAGAGTTCATTTTAAAATTCTTTTGTTTGTTTTTAAGGTTTTAAATGGCCTTGCTCCGCCATATTTAACAGAGCTCATCTATCGTTACACTCCCTCTCAGTCCCTTAGGTCTGCTGACCAGCTGCTCCTGGCTGTTCCCACCTGTAACAGAGGAGAAAGAGTTTTTCTCTGTTTGTGGCCCAAAGCTCTGGAACACCTTACCATTGTTCATCCGACAGGCCCCATCATTGTACATTTTTAAGACCCGTCTGAGGACTCACTTTTACTCATTGGCCTTCAACCCAATAGAGACTTCATTTTACTTAATTTTAGTGATTTTATCTGTTTTTTATCATCTTTTTGATTTATTTTTTTGCTGATGTTCAGCAATTAGTTTCAGCTGTGACTGGTGTTAAATTTTTATTATTATTACTATTTCTCCAAGTACCGCTTTTAGATTTGATCCTCATTTTGATGTGATGGCTCACAAATAACAGAATAACTAAAGGACATTAAATTTAACTGCATTAAATGTTTAGACAGGACATCCATAATTTTTGTTTCTTTCTCAAGACTGCATCTCATGTTGTCATTTATCAAAAACAAATTGAACCAAATCATTATGAAATAAATTACTTTTAGGAAATTAGACAAGCAATACAAAACAGTTATGTTTGCAAATGTCTCGTAGAAATGAGAGAAATGAGTTCAGCAGAAGTTATACACATTACGAAAAACATGGTAGGAATCTGTATTCTTTTCAAAACCATTTTCATCCATTGCCAGAGACAGTGATTCACATGTGTATCTGTGTGTGTTTGTCTTTTGTGTTAGTAAAATATCTCATGAAGCACAATAGATTAGAATAAACTCACAGATAGTAATCATTACACACACCTTTACAATTACCTTCAGAGACAATCCAATTCAAGATGGCCGCATAAACTAAACTATCTAATCAAACACAGAAAGAGCTAAAGCTTCTTTATATTAAAACAAGACAAGAATGGACACATGTCCACTGTCTAACAAGACAAGAATGGACACATGTCCACTGTCTAACAAGACAAGAATGGACATATGTCCACTGTCTAACAAGACAAGAATGGACACATGTCCACTGTCTAACAAGACAAGAATGGACACATGTCCACTGTCTAACAAGACAAGAATGGACACACATCCACTGTCAAACAGGAAAAGAATGGACACAAGTCCACTGTCTAACAAGACAAGAATGGACACATGTCCACTGTCAAACAGGAAAAGAATGGACACAAGTCCACTGTCTAACAGGACAAGTATGTAAATGCAACAATGATAACTGTATTTTTAAAC